TTGAGTTTCAGTTCTAAGTATGGGGAACCCTCAAAATGTATTAGATTTTTTTTCTATTTTTTTTTTGTGTAAAAATCTTATGTACTTGCAGTTGCAGTGCATGCAGTTCACGCAATACATCTACTTAACAAGTTTCAACAATATAGTTCTTATTGTTTCGAAAACAAGTGGCTGTGACATACGGATGGACACACAGACAGACAGACGTGACGAATCCGTAAGAGTTCCGTTTTTTGCGATTTGGCTACGGAACCCTAAAAACTTTCTTTTAGGCTAACGTCTCACTATATGCACTTTAGGCTTTTAGATATTCTACTATACTACAGTTTTTGTTCTCAGGCTTGTATTATACACAATGACATTCATCTATGATTCTTCTTATGCCTGCATGCAAAGTCTCAGCCCGATCGGTTTAAATTGACAAAGTTTCATGCAAACTTTCATTTACCCCCTTGGGGGTAGAATTGATCAAAATTCTTTCTTAGCGGATGCCTACGTCATAACATCTACCTGCATGCCAAATTTTAGCCCGATCCGTCCTGTGGTTTGGGCTGTGCGTTGATAGATCACTATGTCAGTCAGTCACCTTTGAGTTTTATCTAATATATAAAATTCTCGTGTCGCGGTGTTTATGGTTAAACTCCTCCGAAACGGCTTTCCCGATTCTCATGAAATTTTGTGTGCATATTGGGTAGGACTGAGAATCGGACAACATCTATTTTTCATCCCCCTAAATGTTAAGGGTAAATCCACCCCTAATATACTTTTTTTATTTTTTTTATGATACAGCATTAGTAAATACATACAATCCTAAATTATCTATTTTCATATCCTTAATTAAGTGGTAATGGTTGTCCACCTGTAACGTAGTGTTCTGAAACCTACAATGCGCCTTCTCGCCAAAATTCAAACTATTGGGTATTGTAACGTAATGTTCTCATATGGGTGAGGAGGAATGTTATCCCAGGAAATTGATAGAACACTACGTTACACGCCCCTAAATATATGGCTATATGATTTTGGACAATATTGTTTTTATAATGTGGTATTAAAAAATACATAGGTACACCCCTAAATTTTCTCTTCTACCACCTGCCCCTATATTTATGGCGGTACGACGTTCGCTGGGTCAGCTAGTATATACATAGATTTTTATAGCATCTTACTGTCAAACTCCATAGTAATTTGACAATTGACCGTGATAAAAACGTATAATATATTATATCACGGTGCTCATGGTAATAGAACATACAGATCTTTACCTAAAATAACCAAAATTGAAATAGGTACTCAGATCCTTTTAATTAGACCGTCCAATAAATTATATCGTTTTATCTGATCCGTCTATAGCAAACACAGTGGGACAATACAAACCACTTATCCGACTTGTCCGAGATCAACCGATAACTTTGTAAATAAGCAGTTTAAGCAGCTCTAACTTGTGGCATTCATTTGAGGGAATGGGAAACATTGCTTAGATTATGTGAAATTGTATACGTTTCAAAATAATTTAAATTAAGGTACCTATACAATTCAGATAAAAGCCGACTTGAAATAATCTAATTTTATGACGACCTCCGTGGCCGAGTGGTTTGTACGCCGGGTTTCAAGGTGTTGCCGACTCGAGAGGTCCCGGGTTCGAGTCCCGGTGGGGGCAGATGTTTGTGTGATGAATACGAGCATTTGTACTCCAATCATGGATGTTTAATATGTGTTTCTATATAAATATTCTTATATTTGTACAGTATATGTATTCTATCCGTTACTCTAGTATTCCATAACACAAGCCTTACAGTACTTACTTTGGGGCTAGGCTCTGGTGTGAGTGTTGGTAATATTTATTTATTTATTTTATTTTATCTGCAAAGTAGGGGAAAACCAAGTGACTTGCACATGTTTGGGAGTTGGACCATCTTTCATCATTGTATTTAAATTTAGCTCAAACAAAACTTAAATATATATATATACTATAAATACTTTAAATGAAAAAAAAACATTACTAGAAAAAATACCACGGGACTCGAACAAGCACCCTTCGCTATTCGAATGCACTGACCAGTATACTACCGCGGCCCTGACGACCGTTTCGAATTCTCTCTAGCCTTTATTAAGCTGCAAGGCAGTACTTTCCCCCGGATAGCGAAGAGTGCGGTAACAAGTCCCCTTTCTTAATGCATTCGCCTTCGCCCGTATGGCGAAGAGTGCGGTTTCAAGTCCCGTCTACTGCCTGGTCCGCGTAGATTTATTTCTAATAATATTTACTTAAGATTTAAACATCAAGCAGTTACATGCTTAAAAAATAAAAATATGTGTGTGTCAGCTCCGACGCACGACTGGAGTTTACTCCTTAAGTTCGATAGTCTAACCAGACGCAAAAAGAGTTTATTTAACTTAAAAAAGATTAATGTCAATCCGTCATCTTTGTTTGTCAAAGTTGCGCGACATAGGATGCGCACCAAAAACGTAACGAGGTCATTCATCGATAGATTTTACTCCTCACATTTTTCTCATACCGGGCCCCTTATATATGCAAATCGATTCTTAAGGAGTAAACTCCAAAAATATAAGTATAAAAACTTTCTATTCCTAAAGACTACAACGGTTCTTCGATGATACGAACGCCTTTAACGGACTTTTAACTTTACAATTAGTACCTACCATCATGCCATAAAGCAAAACTTCACACATAACCACAATCAAAGCATTGCATTCATCAATAAAGTATGAAATGCATTAATAAATGTTCATCGAACATTATAAAACCATTCATCATGGCCGCCTCATGAGTTTCATATGACGCTTTTATTAAAACATAAAATGCTTTTTAATAATAGCCTTTGAGAAGCTCGATGGCGCGGGTCGTTTGCGCGTTCGGCTGCGATCGTTGTAGTTAAGCAACTTTCGCAGTGGTCGGTCATTGGATGGGTGACCGAAAATTTACTATCTCGAGCTCCTCCGTGCTTCGGAAGGCACGTTAAGCCGTTGGTCCCGACTGCATCTGCAGTCGTTAGACTGCATCTGCAGTCGTTAGCACCCGCCAATGCATTGGGCTCGCGTGGTGGGTCATGGCCCAATCTCCCTATTCCATCCATAGGGAAGCCTGTGCCCCAGCAGTGGGGACATTAATAGGCTGATGATGATGATGATGATGAATAGCCTTTACACATTATATCGCGATAGATTCGGCAAGTATGTACTCAAATATTCATATTGGCCTAGCTGTATGGATTGAAATAAGCAGTAGTTGTATTTTTTTTTTCGAAAGTGATTATTAAATCTAAAGAAAAGTTTACTAGAAAAAAAAATCCACGCGGACCAGGCAACGGACGGGACTCGAACCCGCACCCTTCGCAATCCGGGCAAATCCACTGACCATTATGCTACCACGGCCCTATTCGACGCGTCGAAATTTTCCTAGGCTTAAGCTGCAAGGCAGCGCTATCTCTTCGCATTGTAGGTAACCCACAATGTCAAATAAATACTTTTTCAAGTATTAAACATTTGAAAGAAGAAATAGCAATTATAGGATTGCGAAGGGTGCGGGTTCGAGTCCCGTCCGCTGCCTGGTCCGCGTGGATTCTTTTCTAGTAAACTTTTCTTTAGATTTAAACATCTAGCAGTTAAATGCTTAAAAATAAATAAAAACATGAGTAATTATTATTTTATTTTAACATAAGGATCGTTTTCCTCTGCATCTAAGACAAAGGTAGAAAAAGTCAATATGAAAATCCAAAAAATATTTTTGTCTTTATAAAATAGATCTGCTTACATAGTAACTGTCCGGGATTTTCTGGTTTCCGAATATATAAAATAAGTATAGAAAGGAGATTGCTCAGCTTCCATACATGTTTGGCCTAAAGACAGTCTTTGGCTGAATGTTACTACACCCATAGCCATTAAAAATGATTCGTATGTTTTCCAAACCGGTAAAATTAAAGTCCTTTTTAAAGTAAATATATTATACAAAGGTGTCCGTTGAAATCTAATGACTTTAAATTAAATTATAAATTACGCCAAGAATTACCTTGTATGTCAATATTTTTTGTGCATTTGGGCTAATTTGAGCAATCTCCTTTCTTACGAAAATAAGTATACAAATCGTTATGCAAAGTTCATAATTTAACGTATAGTATGTTAACTATGTGTTACTTTAACAAAATTCTAATAACCCTGAAATGTAAAGTTTGAAGAATAAAATTTTCGGGCGAATTTTGGCCAGGGTAGGCGGAACTCCCTCCACACCTCTACATCCAGCCCTGTTACAATTACATAGATAATATAATCTACGTGTTCATGGTAATTATCAAAACTCCTACGAAAATGGAAGATTTTTTCTCGTTTAATAACTGGTTTACCATTAAAGTTGTTTTAGACAATTAACATATGTTGTTAGCACGTATTCTCACAAGACCTGTTTTAATAGGTATTTAATGTTAAAAAAAGATAAATTAATAAGTACTCGAGTACTTCAATTCACTGTACTCGTTAATTATTTCGCTATTGACCTTTGAAGGTTCAGGTACATACATCGATGAGTTTTCAATTGTACAATCGGCATTCGCTTGTTTTTAACTTAAATTATGTTATAAAAGATGTTGTAACAAGATGGAAGTAGTTGATACCCAATTTAAAAATACACCGCGTAGACATAATGAGAGGCAATTTGCTGTAGAGAGCAAAGGCCGCTGTAATTTTACATCGTAAACATGGCGGGACGAAAATTAGGACGGTTGTTAGAGAAGCCATTAAATTATTATATCAAAATTATAAAATGAAATGTGATGACACTAGTAATTATTAAACGAAGATACTTGAACGAATAATAAAGAATAGAATCTTGTTAGAGACACAAATACTCACATTTGCAAATGACATAAGCGATTCAATTGAACAACATTTATTTGTACACGTTCACATGTTTGTATAAAAACGAACCGTTAGGAATTTAGCAGTAAGACAACAACTCGTTTAATGTGCAAGGTTGATCGCAGCACTCGGAAATGACTCCGGTCCTCTTGCCTCTGGAGCCTTCCAAAGCTCTGGACCTGGCCATCCACGGCCATTCGAAGTCGTTGAAGGATTCAATGGAGTTGGGCTCTGCTCTCTTGCCCAACATCTGCATTGGGCACAAGTAGGCAAGCGCGTTAGCCAATTTTCTACCACAGTACACTTGACCAGAACTCTTGCCAGAAGCAGCGGAGAGGAGAGCAGCGATGACGACGATGATGAACACAAAGATCTTCATGATTCTGATAGTAAATATGATGTGGATCTCAAATTCGTTCAGGTCCTTTTACCTCGAGCGGTGGGATCGAAATGTGACTTATCGCAAATTTCTTCAGATTTTATACTGTAAGCGGACTATGAATATTCAAAAATTCATTTCAGTTAACAGGTGACTTGCTTTCGCTCTTAATCAGATGTGATCAACAATGTGTTTGAAGTTTATAACACTTCGTGTTCAGTGTCTCGTGATCGTGAATAACAAAGTGTCTTAAGCTCATATGATTTAATGTCTCCAAAAAAATGCAATAGGTGTTTTCAACGAATTTGTTAAAATACATATTCTTTAGGTTCATACCAATAAAGTTCAGGTATACCTACTCTGATACAGCGTATATTCTCTAAACCCATACATATCACAAGATATAAGTAGTAAATGAATTGGGCATTCTAGCTCACAAAATTGCGTTCTTAAAGCTCGCACAGCTCGCTACGTCGTTGCTTCGTTGCACTCCGCCCGACGTTGAACGCAATTTTGTGAGCTAGAATTCCCACTTTATTTTTTTCGATTTGTTATTGGCGGTGTACGTTTATATACACCAGCAACGCAACTGAATGTCATTTATGTGATACCCATGATAGGTAGAGGTCAATTTAGTCTGCAATTATGAAATTGATGAATTTTTGACGCGTATAACGTCGGGCGGAGTGCAACGAAGCAACGACGTAGCGAGCTGTGCGAGCTTTAAGAACGCAATTTTTGTGAGCTAGAATGCCCAATTCATTTACTACTGATATACCGAAAAAGATTGGACCATGACCTGTTCATCAAATTCATAAAACAATTAACATGAATTAAAGTATTCAAACAGCCTCGTATCCTCGAGAAAAAATTACACATTTCATCTGTCAAAATCCAACCTCGTCCGAACCCATTCCGATGTATCTAGTTCTAGTACATACCTCATTACTTTATTGATATCAGACGATGCATCTTAATGCTTTTTTTCCTTTGAAAATATATATGAAAAATAATATACTTTTACGTTATACTTTTTCCTAATAATGATGAAGATTATTGGGAATCTGAGAATTTAAAATTATACGACATAAATCAAAGATTGCTTAATTTTTAACTGGCTCTGAAAATTATTGTGTGTCATACTACTAAAAATTTTAATGACTTATCTATACTATGTACCGTATGTTATTCTACTTCAATAACTTGATACGCAATATCTCTTTGTAAAATAAAATTTTTACTAGAATTACGAATGCAAATGTATGAATAAGTTATGTGGAATAATGTCTCGTCTGTTAAATATGCCATAGAACGGGATCAAGTGTTCACTCATACGCGAATCCATGTGGCAACATTTAATTGACATGTTATGAGTTGCCGACGTCACAAAACTTCAGGTAACTGCATACAATAATTTTATTGACCTTCATGAAATATTCATGACTATACTTCTTATAAAAGAGGTTAGTTCGGCAAATATACCCCATTCACGATATAGTTTGCTTTATTTTCGATCAATGTGAAGGCTTCTGTGTTGTTTCTTGTGGGATTTTTATCGTTAGCAGCAGCTTCGGAAGGACCACCACTAATTCTTTGTGGCAGAAGATTGTTGGAAGCATTGAGGTTTCTTTGTCCAAATAACGAAGAGAAGAGATCCAGATGGGATAATCTCTTGAACAATTCAGGCCTTGGCGGTACTGAATTTCAGAATGTGGAGCCACATGATAAATGGGAGTGGCCCTGGCTGGTTCCAAGGGTTCAAGCTTTGATGGACTATAGAGGCAAAAGAGGAGTTATCGACGAATGCTGCTACAAGTCCTGTTCTCGTGAAGAACTCCTCACCTATTGCCCCAAAAACTGATGATAATACAAGAACTAGTCTTGTATGGACCCAACGATATTAAATACCTAGATACCTTCCTAGATACACCAACACGAACAAAATCGTCTGATCGCCTGAAACTTGTCCAAAAGGTACATTTTACGATCCATGCAGCTCCGTAACAATATAAGACATTATTTTTTTAAACTTCGATCGAACCTCCTTGAAATTACTTTTAATCTATACCTTTGTCTCACTTTTATACTAAAAATGAAAAGAGACAAAAGATGTTGTTCTAATGTTCACGTGGCGCCATTTGGACTTGCGCTGATTTTGGACATTCGAAAATTTCCTGTCGCAGAAGACTTGCGCTGACGACTTCCCTAACGCAGCAGACATCATGAAAACGACGAAACGGAAAACCAGCTATTGGGTCTCCATGTGAAGCTCGATGGCGCAGGTGGTTAGCGCTTTCGGCTGCGATCGTTGAAGTAAGCAACTGTGGTCGATCATTGGATGGATGACCAAAAATTTACTATCTCGAGCTCATCCGTGCTTCGGAAGGCACGTTAAGCAGTTGGTCCCGGCTGCATCTGCAGTCGTTAGTACCCACCAATCCGCACTGGACCCGCGTGGTGGGTCGTGGCCCAATCTCCTTATTCCATCCATAAGGAAGGCCTATGCCCCAGCAGTGGGGACATTAATAGGCTGATGATGATGGGTCTCCATGTTGTCCTGATCTTCCTAATTCTTTAAATAAGCAGCAAATCCCTTGAATGAACGTGTCCAAATGAGACCCCAGATAGTCCTATTAATATGCACACGCGACATGGTTTTAGGGAATTACTCGTAATATGTTTTGACGCAATACATGCAAATGAGCACCTTAACCTATTCCCGAAACGTTCATCTAGATCTTCGTCTGATGTTCATTGACGCGTCCGAAGCGTCTGATCTCATCATCCCACGTATGTAGACTTGACATACGCCTCATTAGTGCGAATAAAAGTCTTATCCTAGTGTTCGAATGCATATTAATGAATGTTGCCTGTATAAAATCAGGAATTTTCTCTAAAAGGCTACACTCAGTATCGGGCTTTCTTCGGTAGAACGCAATGAAGGGTGTGATTCTGATGTTGCTGTCTTCGGTTGGCTTAGCCAGTTTGTCTTCTGAAGACGATTCGCCTCAGGTGTACTGCGGGAGAAGGTTGGCCTTGACGTTGGCGTATATATGCGAAAACAAACCGCTCCCGAAGAGAACTGGGTTCCTGACGGAGTACGAAGGATGGCCGTGGTTTGCTCCTCGGGACGCGAAGGCTTTCCAATCTCCAAAGAGGAAGAGGGGCGTTATATCCGAATGCTGCGACCAACCCTGTTCTGTCAATGAGTTGGCGACCTACTGCTGAATACCCTGAATCTGATGCAAGTAAAAGTATGTTGTGTAAATTTTTGCTTATCACCACGTGGAGTGAATATTATGCTTTTGGCTTTTCATTGATATTGATATAAAAGCTTTTACGTACATTGAAAATAAATTACCTTTTAAAAAGGAAATAAATATTTGTTAAGGTGTAGGTTTTAGTGTATATTTTTTACGCCGTCATGTGTAATAATATCCTACTTTAGTTACATAGTATGAAATAACAGTAATATTACATCTGTTAAAATAAAAACGTTTTTTTAAATATATTACACAACATTCTTAGGTAATTTAATGGTTTAAATAAAATGTTATTATTATCATAATAAAATAAAATAAACACATGGTCTCAAAAATAATAACATTCATGTTTAATTCTTTAAATAAGCTTAAAAGTATTATAGCTATTAACGGGATTGTTGCCATGTACCTTGTATTTTATGAGTCTCCGATATTTCGGCACTGTTGCAAGCGCCATGATCACGGAGTAACAGAAGTAATTGCGGGTAGATGTTATTGGCAGACTTAACGGTCTACCCTCTGACGTCGTCTTTTACTGCGCTCGATACCCCTACCACTGGTCACATTCTCACTATTCACTCGCACTTGTTCCCTACACACAATAATCACTGTATCAGATCGCGGAACGACACTTTTTAGATTTTTGTGTTTTTTACACATACGAACCACTGAATTCCAGACAATTGACAATTTAAACCCATCCTCACGATTCATAAAAAACAAGGTACATGGTAACAATCCCGTTAATAGCCATAATGTTAGTGATCATGAAAGTTTAAAATAATATAAGCCTAAAAGCCTGTTTAAACGAAAGTCTCAATCTCAATACAATTTCTTTTTTTTTTAAATGAGATTTTCAAATTAAACTTAAAAATTATAAATAAGTATTTAATTATTGTATCGAGTGAATAGAATGACATTTATTAAAGAATCAAATGATTTTCAGGTCATAATAAAGGACCATCAGTTTTACCAATTTTATAAAAATTTGTTCAATGGTTATATCACCAGGATGAAACTAAGATACTGAAAACCCTAAACAAAGCCAAAAGAAAAAAAAATCAGAAAAGCACTATATTTTACAAAATCGAAACGGACAGTACCCCTAGCAAGAACCAATATCGAATTCGAATAGTTTGCGGGTGCGAAATGTCATTGTCAATTTTTATATGGAAACTTGAACAGCAGCGCCACAAAGTACAAAGCGAGAACTAAAAATTAGTAAACATTTGACAATGACATTTTGGACTCGCAAACTATTCGAATTCGATATTGGTTCTTGCTAGGGGTACAAAGGGTGTGCTAAGGTTACAGTTCTTATCGCGTTTATGTCGTTTTCAAGCTATGTAACTAATTCACATAGTGGTTGCTTTCCAATTACAGAGCATAATGCGACTCGGTGCCGCACAATGCCGAATTATGCTGATGCTTAATTGGAACATGAATTAGTTTTCAAATGCACCAGCAGAGTGCGCCAAGTTCAGTGTTGAAAAAGAAAGTCAATGTTTGTACCTTCATCCATATTTATATTTAATTTTTAACACAGTTTGAATTAAATTTGATTATTTAAAAAAAAACTATGATGAAACGAAAGTTTTAATAATTTTTCAACAATAAATAATATTACTAACGATAACATATAAATAAAACATTTCGATCAATGCCAACTTAAAGAAAAAAACACTTGTTAATTTTCTGTCTCTAAGTTGGTACGATTGCACGCATCACACGAAAGCATCACTTTTGAGAGTGCTCAATTGTGCGAAGCGTTGCTGTAGTTGGAACACTCAACGTTAAGCATTATGCCGCATAATGCGCTATAATGCTGTAATTGGAAAGCTACCAGTAGCATACTGAGAAACTATTTTTCCTTCTTCACCTCTCTTTGTGACGGCCAATTCCAATAATCATACTCCAGAAAAAAGTACGGATAATCTGGTTCCGTTACAAAGCAACAGTTGTTTTCTAGTTTTAATAATGAAAAAATCTTGGCAACTAATCTCTAGTAGGCCTTCCTTTTATTGAAGTGTGATTATTGAAACTGGGGGCCAATCGCCCAACGGAATTGCAATGGCTATCGCTATCACTTCCGATTTCATTTTGTTATTTCTGACCGCAGACGGTTTTCTAATACCTCACACTTATTTTCTTAAATATTGTTATTACCAATGCAAAAGAAAAAAAAGCGCGAGGCATTTGAAAAACTTCGGCGGTCAGAAATAACAAAATGAAATCGTAAGCAATAGCGATAGCCATAGCAATCTTGTTAGGCGATGGGCCCCATGGCCGTTGATGATTACTAAACCATCTTCTCAAGGTGAACAAGAAATTCGGCGGAATAGCTACTTTTTCTCTCTGCGCGCCATAATAATGATAATATAGTTTTTATTCAATCAATTAGCTAAATTACTACGCTGCTAGATTTTATATTTTAATGAGGTCAATTAATAAAAATATATTAATGTAAAATCTTCTCACGATAGATATTTATGTCACCGGCAATCTGTATAACACCGGAATTCAATACCTAGACAATGTATGTATCACATATATACATCAAAATAATCTAGAAACACGGCCAACATATCTAGCAGTTAAATGCTTAAAAAATAGTAATATAGCCAAAACGAGTCCAAAAAATCACGTTTCGTATAAATAGACCGTTCTATTTCTGTTTCAACTTTATTATTATTAGTGATAGAGACCATATTCATGCATTCAGTGAGCCCAGTAACTATAACAGAAATCAAAAATCAATATATATTTATTCAAATTGGATGTATAGTACAACTCTTTTGAATCGTCTAAATTTTTTTTTCCCAACCACTTGTTATGGACATATTTTTTAGCTGCGGAGAAAAACGAGCAAAAAAAACTCCACAACACTAAAAATCAAATGAAACAACATTTACAAATCATTATGTTGTTACAACGTCAATACAATTATGATTTATTTAATATAGAAAACCTGTTGGAATGATTGGAACAGTTCAAACCCAAGCATTTTTATCTGTAATATAATCAAACACTTTGTAATAAGCTTTTTTAATAAGTGCTTTTTTATACTATCTTTAAATTTATTTATGGATAATTCTTGGATATTGCTTGGGACTTTATTGGATAAGCGAACACAAAGACCTTTAAATGAATTGTTAATTTTGTAAAGCCTAGTAGCAGGTAAAGTTAGTTTATTTTTGTTTCTTGTACTAAATGTGTGAACATCACTGTTTTTAAAAAACAAATTAATATTTTTTCTTACAAGTAATAAATTTTCGTAAATGTATTGTGATGCGACCGTCATTATTCCAAATTCTTTAAACTTATCTCTTAACGATTCTTTAACTTTAAGATTATAAATTGATCGAATAGCTCTCTTCTGCAGCACAAAAATAGTTTGAATGTCGGCGGTATTTTCCCACAATAACAAACAAACAAATAGCGGAGGCACATAATAAATAAATATTTCCAACACTCACACCAATTAGCTTAGCCCCAAAGTAAGCACATTAAGGCTTGTGTTATGGGATGCTAGGGTTACGGATAGAATACATATACTGTACATATATAAGTATATTAAAAGGGTTACTTTGGCCACGCAACCAGTGGCGGACTAAGTCCGTCAGAGGCCCGGGGCGGCAAAGCTGAATGAGGCCCCCAGCTTTAAAAAAAATGTAGATTCTTATGTTTATTTCGTTAAAACCAGTCTTGTCAAATCCACCATAATTTTGTATCAGATTGTCAACTGCTACAGCCAGAGCGTCATCTGAAGCCTCTAGCATAAACTTTGTTTCAATAATTTGGAAAATAGTTTTGATTTGTTTAATAGCCCAATTCGAAAATTCTTGTATAAAGCGGTCTATGCATTCATACATTGACCGTCGTATTTCTTCTTGAATTGATAATCCAGCATCATGAGCTGATTCACCCGGCATCTTCTTTTTACTTTCACTATTCCTGGTTTCTTGATGTTGATGAACCACCTAAATACTTATTTAAGGCGTTTAGTTTAGTGATTCCTGTATCCAGAGTCATTTTTGGAGACCGCAAATATTGTTAGACTTAAATAGAATGTAGTGAATGTAAATGTACGCGTACAAGAGTAAAATATTTGCACTTCATTCCTTCAGAGATTCCTGAGGAAGTACCCGCTACAAAGACGGGATTCCCCCAGCGTATTGGACGCGTTCAGCAAAGTTAAAAAAATATTAGTACCGCGTAAAAAGTCTAGATTACTGTAGTGTTTTGATCTTGATGAAATTATGTAGGTACTAATCACATTTTTAAAGTCTTGTTTAGGATTTGATCAGGGGAACCCGGAGGCATTTGGGGGCCCCCCGAGATCGGAGGCCCGGGGCGGGCTGCCCCTTCCGCCCCCCTGTTAGTCCGCCACTGCACGCAACCTTAAGAACCAACCAACTTGGAGTAGGTATTCCAACAAATTCAATTGAATCCATTTCATTATGTTTTTCATGCATCTAAGATATTAAAATACATTGGATAGACTGGTTACTCCGCAGAATTAGATTTAGAGAATATTGAGAGTGTATTAAGTTGTCAAATATATAGCATTATGGACGGCGAAATGTATACTGTTTACGATAACAGTCTATAACTTGATATGTAAATAGAAGGATATTACTTGGGGTTATAAATAAAAAGCGATGCTAGTTGCCGTTCGTCGGACGGTAATAGAGCCTTCAAATAAATTAGAGGACCCCTGGGGTCTAACACCGGCGCAAGATATAAGATCACGCGGGTTTTTCGTGCGAGATGCAGCAAATTACTTTACCCCGCGGTAACTCATTTCTTAGTCGCACTATCCGTAAATGGATTGTTCTGCCCGCTCACGTGTCCGCTTCTTCTTACAAACTGGGATCCTTTAAAAGAGGCGTGAAGAACATGCAGGCCGGCAAAGTGAGGATTGCTGGTGTGGCAGGTAGAATTGCTGTACCAGCTAGCTTCACGTCTGGACTTCATCGTCACTTAACATCAGTTGGGGTGGAGTCACAAGTCGGAATAGGGTATTTGACAAGTTTTAGAAAACGATCTCAAGTGATTGACTTATGTTTATAGAGTCCGTAAAAGTGGTTATTCATCATTCTGTTGTGTATTTTAGTACAGTCAATCT